AATCGTTCAATTGGAATGATTGAAGTTATCATTCCAAAAGAACGATAAAAAAATCGTTTGTTTGGAATGATTGAAGTTATCATTCCAAACGAACGATAAGAAAATCGTTCAATTAGAACGATTAAATTATCGTTCCAAACGAATGATAAAAGAATCGTTCAATTGGAACGATTGAAGTTATCGTTCCAAATGAACGATAAAAAAATCGTTCCAATCGAACGATAAAAGAATCATTCGTTTAGAACGATTGAAGTTATCGTTCTAAATGAACGATAAAAGAATCGTTCGTTTGGAACGATTGAAGTTATTGTTTCAAACAAACGATAAAAAAATCGTTCATTTGGAATGATTGAAGTTATCATTTCAAAAGAACGATAAAAAGATCATTTCAAACGATCTGAAATTTCGGATTAATCTAAAATTTTCAGTTCAGTTCAGATTTTTACTGATTTACGGTTTGGTTCGGTTTCAGATTGGCATTTTTAGGATTATAATCTGAACTGAACTGAACTGAAATTTTCAGATCAGTTTCGGATTGGCCTATAATCCAGACTGAACCGAACTGTTCAGAGCATTACTGAATAGTAATAGAAAAATTAAATCTGAGCTAATGCATTAATTGATATTTGATATTCAAATTAATAGTATTACAAATTCTAGTGGTATTGAAATAAAAGAACTTGAATTGCTAGACAATCAGCCTTCAATTAGTTTTCTTTTATATACAGACAAATTTTCTTCTAATGAAATTCATCAATTTTGGATGAATTCACAAAATATTAAAAAATTAAATATTACTGATAATGAACTATTTTCTAGCGAATTCCTTAAACTATTATCTGATAATATAATTATTTTAAGTAAAATGCTTGATTTGATGATTAAATACTATAATATAACTTATATTACATTTAATTTTAGAAGCCATTCAATAAGGATTTAGAAGATAGTATAATGATTCAGGTCAAAATGAATCAATTCAGAAGATATCAAATTGGTTTAAAATCTTTGAATTATTGATGTCTTTGTGATATGTAAAAAATTCGTATATTTTGACCAAATTTATTGCAAATAATAGTATAGTCAATTGTTATCCTAACCAAGTCTAATATTATTTTACATATAAGGTCAATTTGCCATTCAGAAAGGCTGAATATTTTCTAGCATTTGTTCATTAGTATAAATCTACAAGTTCTTTAAATATGTGGTATTATTTTAGCAAAGAAGAAATATGTAATGTCGAATTATGAAATACTGAATTTTATCCAGAAAGTCATAATTGTATAATACCAGTTCATCATATTTTAGATTGATTTATATTAATTAACTATTGAATTTCAGCCTGGTAAAATGCAAAAAAATATTTGACTGTTAATCCAATTAATAGAAAATACTATTTGTAAAAATAAATTGAATATTTTTAGCATTATTTGGCTGTCAATCCTAAATATCAGTCATATTTCCTTTTAAATTTTATTTTATTTTGAAATATTTTAGTTTATTTTTAATATATATCAATCAGATATAAATCAGATGTCAATCAGCTATAAATAAGATAAGTTAAATTTTAGCTGATTTTTGACTGATTTCTAATGTATACTAATTAGATGTAAATCATTATAAATAAGATAGGTTAAATTTATTTTTGATATATACCAATAGATATAATCAAATATCAACCAGCTATAAATAAGATAGGTTAAATTTTAGCTGATTCTTGGCTGATTTCTAATGTATGCCAATCAGATGTAAATCAGTTATAAATAAGATAGGTCAAATTTTAACTGATTTTTGATGTATATTAATCAGATATAAATCAGACATCAATTAGCTATAAATAAGATAGGTCAAATTTTAGCTAATTTTAATGTATATCAATTAAATATAAATTAGGCGTCAATCAGCTATAAATAGAATAGGTCAAATTTTAGCCAATTCTTGACTAATTTCTAGTGTATGCTAATTGACTAAGCTAATTTTTTGATAATTTACCAAATTTAGGCTGATTTTAGCCAATTTTTCACATGTTTGATTTTTTGATTTTAACCAGTATTGTCAGAAAATAAAAACAAGGAATTAGATGATTTGAATTAAATTAAAATAAGTTGAATGAACGAAAATTAGATTTTGAACAAATAAAATAATTTGTAAAACAAATTCTCTTGAAGATGAGTGATAGAAACAGTTCAAGAAAATGCTCTTGTTAAAGCTATCGAACTCATAAAATATCATACATTTATAGATTACAGGTTTTGATGTTTATAACATTCACTAATCTCAAATTTAGGATTTTTTTCTAATTTGGTCTTAAGTTTATATGTAGTAATAAAATGTTTGTATTTTAGAATTTTTTTGATATAGCAGCATTAGTTTATGAATAATTTTCTTAAGTAATCAAAAGAATATCATTAATATTAATTGTTTTACATATTAAATTAACATATAATTCATATGTATGTAAAAGAATATAATAGAGTTTCATTAAATTTTAAGAGAGCTTAACATATTTTCAATTAAGAAATTAAAATAAAAACCTTATTTTTTTAATTATCTTTTATATTATAATTTTAATACCTAATTAATCATATAAATAATGACTTATATCAAAAATGTAATTATATTTTAATCTAAAATAGATGTGATATTTATCATCATTCTTTTCATTGAAGATTAGAATAGAATTATTAATCTAATTTACTGAGAGTTGAATATATCTTGTAATATATAATAAAACTATTTATTTAACTTATTAATTATTAATTTATTTTATAAATTATAAAAAAGTAAATTTAAATACTGCATCTAACTATTGCACTTATAAAAATTACATATTAATAGTAATAATGAAAAATTTTCACTTAAAAAATTATCTAAAAAACATATGAAATTTAAATTAAAAAATAATAAAATAAAAATAAATAATAATTAAAAAATAAAAAATAAAATATTAAAATAAAAATTTAATTAAAAAATTAAAAATAAAAATATAAAAAAGAAAAATTTAATTAAAATAAAAATTAATAAAAAATAAAAATAAAATAAATAAAAATAAAAAAATAAAGAAAAAAAGAAAATAGAAAAAAATAATTAGAAAAAATAATAGAAAATATAAAAAAAGATTAGAAGAAATAATAAAAAAAAATAAAAAGAAAAAAGAAAAAAAGATAGAAGGAAGAAAGAGAAAGAAAAATAAAAAAATTAAAAAAAAAAAATTAAAAAAAATTAAAAAAAATAAATAAATAAATAGAAAATAATAAAAATCAATCAAAATATAAAAAAAAAATTGATTAAAGAAAAAAAAAAATAAATTAATTAATAAATCAATTAATTTAAAACAACTGGTTTATTCATTCTTAAAAAATAAGACTTACTTATATAATATTAAATCAATCTATTAAACCTTTATTGAAACTTAAATTTTTTTGGCTTGATATTTAATTAATTAATTTTTTTTTTACCTTTTTTTTTAAATTTCTTATTGCTATAATATTGTGTGACACGTGTGACAAAGTAAGACGATGAATAAATTATTTTTTAAATTATAATAAATATTTTATAATATATAAAAGTTATTTTTACATCTTTATTATTATTTAAATTTTCTTTAAAATCTAATAAATTATTACTTAAATTTATACTTAAATTTTTATTATTTATAAAAAAAAAATAACTTTATTTGTATAATTTTTATTTGTAAAATTTTTAAAGAAATTAGGTTCTAAGAATTTTTCGATTTTTTGTAAATTTTCAAATTAAATTTTTAATAGATCCGAGTTGATAACCCTTTTTATTATTAATATTAGATATGCAAATCGATTTCTGTAAAGCAAAATCGAAATTAGTACCGTATCGTAATTCCGATAAGTATTATACGAGTCATAATATATTTCGAATGTTAATAATGAAAATGCAAGTAATTCCATTTTACCGAAGCAAGAGCAACGAATGACGCGTTAAAGTCAAATATATAATAGAGGATTAAAAACTGCTTCATTCACCCGTCCCAATCAAAATATTTTCAACTCATATCCTTTTGCATTGTTAGTAATTTTTATAATTTCTAATATGATATAAATTATGATTGACCTTTCTAAACATTCACTTATCTGGGAAAGTATTTTTCCATGTTAAATATGTAATTTGACAATAACGATAATCTTGGATAATTTTTTTTTTTTTATTTATTTGACGCCTCGTCCATTGATTCGTTAATTTGATTGTGCATAATTCCACATCATAATAAAATCACATGCATTTCCAAAATATATCGATCACATAGCATTTATGATTTATATAAATTCCAAATCAGCAAGGAAATTTCGCTTCTACGGATTATTTTTCGGAATAATTTAAAAATTCAATTGCATCAATGAAAAATACATAATTTAGATCGAAAGATTGGCGCGGATTGAAAAACTTCGTTTCAATGTAACCTGTATTTTCCGGATAATTTTTTGTTCATCATTCATAATAATTTTAAATTGTTACATATTTGATTGGATTGGCAATTGTCACGAGGGTCAAACCAAACCATTTTTGGTCGTCCCACCATCTTTGCCGCTAATATATATAATATGGTTTTTCTTATCATCTCATTCCTAACCAATTGCAATTGGGTACTTACAATATCTCGCGTGTTATATATAAATTTTTTCGAAATAAAAGACATCTTTTTTTCATAGTTTAAACTATATTTATAGATCATTCGAAATCTTAAATCAATTGTTTGTTTTTAACAATAGGCGTTTTCTCCCTCGTTATTTGTGTTGGGGTTGCTTCTAGGTATCCGTTTATAAGAGAAGATATTTGTGTGGCGTTGTTTTTGGCGTATTACTATATTTGTCCGGAACAACTATTATAATTTGGAGTATATATATGTAACAACAGTTTTTTTATCTGCATTCGTCGTTCAATGTTTTATCGTTCTTTATTATAAAGTGCAACTTAATTTTTGTACAATAAAGATATAGTATTACAGTAAAAGGTATTATCAAAGCATTATGAAGTTTGGTCACCACTTAAAAACTTCTCTGTATCCAGAATGGACTTACTACTACTTGGCTTACGACGAGCTTAAACATGAGTTAAAAACTCGAACCCGTGGTGGATATTGGAGTGAAGACGACGAGAAATCTTATTTTGAGCTACTTGAAAAGGAACTCGATAAAGTTTATAATTTCCAGACTGTAAAGTCCGGGGAAATAAACAGGAGAATTCAGCATAGTGAGAAAGTCATAAATGACGTCACGGAAACAAAGAGTGCGAAAGAAGAAGATTATCTTGAAATCGAAGAAGAACTTTCAAATATAATCGCGGACGTTCATGACCTTGCCAAGTTCACTCGGTTGAACTATTCAGGTTTCCTGAAAATTATCAAGAAGCATGATGTAAGAAACATTCATAATTTTTTTTTTTTTTCGCGTAATTGATATTTGATTATTTACCAAAATTCGTAATATTTGATAAAATTCCCCCTGGCTCAATGATTTTACCTACCTTTTTTTTCTGGGAGAGAGATTAATAAATTTTTTTTTTTTTTTTTTGAAATCTATTTATACGAGTTAGATTTCCATAAATATCAAATTTTTTTCATTTTACCCTTGTAATATAAAATGCATGATTTTTATTAACGATTTTTATAATTAATTAACTTAGAAACAAACCAAATGGATTTTAAAACCTATGTTTATGGTTCGATTGAATGCCAAACCTTTTTATAAGGAAAATTATGATGCGTTGATCGTTAAATTATCGCGTCTCTATGACATTGTTCGTACTCGTGGCAATCCAGTTAAGGGTAACTCTTCTGCCGGCGGTCAACAACAAAATTTTGTTCGCAATACCACAAAATATTGGGTTCACCAGGATAATATTACGGAACTCAAACTTTTGATTCTGAAACATCTTCCCGTGTTGGTATTTAATCCTAATAAAGAGTTCGAGTCTGCGGATTCGGCCATCTCCTCAATATATTTTGATAACGAAAATTTTGACCTTTATCTTGGTCGATTGGAAAAGACTGAAGGAGCCGAAGCGATTCGTTTAAGGTGGTATGGAGGAATGGATAATAGAGAAATCTTTGTTGAACGTAAAACACATCGCGAAGATTGGACCGGTGAAAAATCGGTAAAAGCGCGTTTCCCCATTAAGGAGAAATACGTAAATAGATACCTTCAAGGGCATTATACTATGGATGAAACATTTAAAAAATTAAAACAAAAGGGAAAGGGTGACAAGGAAATTGATGGTCTCATTCAACTCGCTAATGAAGTGCAATATCGTGTGCTCACTAAAAAACTAAAACCAGGTGTGTACAATTTCCTTTAAGCTTTTTTTTTATTAATTATAAGGTATTGTGATTTAACATTAACATTCAATTAGCGGTTCGAACTTTCTATAACCGTACGGCTTTTCAATTGCCGGGTGACGCACGTGTTCGTATATCACTCGATACTGAATTATCTATGATACGGGAAGATAATTTCGAAAATAATCCAAGACTTCGTTCTGGTGATAACTGGCGTAGAATGGATATCGGAATAGATTATCCATTTTCACAGTTACCTGAAGAGGATATTGAGAGGTTCCCTTATGCTATTCTGGAAGTTAAATTGCAAACTCAATTTGGGCAAGAGCCGCCGGAATGGGTTAAAGAATTAGTACAGAGTCATTTGGTAAGTTAACAATATTCTGATGAAATTAAATGAATATTTATTTTCTTTTGTTTTAATAATTTATTTATGTTTTTACTACAGGTTGAGGGTGTTCCTAAATTCTCAAAATTTGTTCATGGAGTTGCCACTCTTATGGAGAATCGTCGAATTCAGTTATTACCCTTCTGGCTTCCACAAATGGATATTGATATTCGCAAACCACCAAGCAAGTTCCGCCTTCAACGCCCTACCGCCAGTAATCCAACTACGCCAGCTAATGAAAATGGAAATCCACTCTCTGAGATTGAGGACGATGATATTGAGGTTTTAGTCGACAATCCAGATGATGATGATGAATATGAAGATGAAGATGATGTAACTGAAGGAACACCATTACTTGCACGAGCTGATTCTTCAAGTCATGGTACTCGATCACGTAATGCACAACAAATTTCCTCACTTGAAGAACTTGAAGAATATTTAGCAGCAACTACACCAGCTGGAAAGGTTCCTATAACTTACCAAGGAAAGAGAATCGCGATTCCCGTTCGCGTAGAACCTAAAGTTTATTTTGCCAATGAAAGAACTTTCTTATCATGGCTAAATTTTACGGTAGTTTTGGGTGGTCTTGCAGTCGGATTATTGAACTTTGGTGATAAAATTTCCATAACTGCAGCATCTATGTTCACTGCCGTTGCAATGATGGTGATGTTATATTCTCTTGGAACTTACCTTTGGCGTGCAAAAAAAATCAGAAACAAAGAACCTGGACCATACGATGATCAATATGGACCCACATTTCTCTGTGGGATACTGTTAATTGCTGTAGTTGTCAACTTTTGGTTGAGATTGTTGGAAGATTCTTCCTGAAGCATTTGATGTGATATAAGATGCAGTTCTGATCGAAACAGATGTGGTCGAATCAACCTCTTACATTACAAGTTAATGTGAACATTATAATATATATGTCCATATATGGATTTATATATATATAGCTTGTTTCTGCAAGTTTCAAAAATCTGATTGGTGTAAATAAAAAGCCATTCTTGATCCTTGCTAAAACAAATGCAAAAAAAAAAAACGGAAAAATATATTTCAATGTATAAAAAAATATTTCATGCACATTAGACTTTTAAAATTTTAGTAGTATTAATAGTAGAAAATGAACTATCAAAATGGAATTTGTATGTATATCACTCTGCAGGGGATAGTTTCAAGAATTTAGTTGTATTTTACAAATGTAAAAGAGCGCAATTATTTTATTGCATATTTATTTTTATATTGTAACATTAAAAAAAAAACAAATTATTCTAAAAAGATTACGATTTGTCACGCGAGATCACGCGAATTTTTTTTATTTATTTGCTACAATTCTCACATGATAATCATTGAAATTTAAAGATGTAATTGTGTAACCGATTTTAGGTGAATTTGAAATTTCATTCCGAAGTTTGATTTTTTTGGCGAAGATTGTGGCTTTGCCCGTGCTACTTTCTAAATTTATCATATCTCCTTAAATAAAACGGAATAAACTTTTGATATTTCAATTAATAAATTTAAAACATAAATTGGGAACATGCGCACCAAGGGTGACTTATTTAAATTTTCTCAGACTATTTTAAATCCCTTTTATTTATACGTCACTTAATATATTATTATTACCACATTTCTTTGATTATCTAAGAATGCTTAACAGTATAAAGGTCTAGTAATATTCTTTTATTAATGGTAATTAACGTGAAATTAAATAAAATTTCAACGATTATATTTTTTTAAAAAGAAACTAAGCTATTTAAGTACAAATTATACTTATTTGTTTTTTTATAATACTTCTCAAAATGAGCTATTTACTTTTACTTAATTTTTGAAAACGAATAATTTTACAAATTAAAAATATCAAAATTTTTTGATATATTAAAAATAAAAAACCTAAATTTTTTCCAATATTTATTTTTAATCTATAAATATATTTATTTATAAGTTTAATTAATAAAAATAAAAAAATAAATTAAAATTATATTATATAAAATATAAAAGAAATTTGATTTTTATTATTCTTATGTAAAAATAAAATTTAAAATTGAATTTATTAAATTTATAAAAATTTAGATTAATCTTTATTTAAACTAAATTGAAAAAACATAAAAATAAAAATTGATCTAATATATAAATGTTTAATTATTTAAATTTTAATTTTAAAATTATAATTATAATAATAAATTTATTTAATTAATAATTAATATAAATAAGTTTATTTAATAAATTACTAAAAAATTACTTAAAATCTGATTTTAAGATTTTAAATATAAATTTAAAAAGGAATAAATAAAAAAAAAATTAAAGTTAATAATTTTTTACAAATTAATTAGAATTTATTAAATCTTTACTAATTTTATTAATAGTTAAATTATATTAAAAAACTAGATTTTAAAATTTAAATAATATATTTACTTTTTTTCTATTATAAAAAGTTTTATATTTAATATAAGATTATTAGACAAAACTTAGAGCTTTTGCAAGTTATCTAAATATTGTAAAATATTGAAAATAAGCACATACTTAAAATAAGCACCTTCTAGATTTTTATCATAGTGTAAGCAAAACTAAAAATAAACACCTTTGAAAATAAGCATCTCTTATAGCTGATTGGTTAGTTGAATTTAATGCATAACTAGGGCATTTAATTGATAAAAAAAATCATAATTGATGATTTGATCAGTCCTTTACTTACATGATCAATTAAAAATCAAATTACTTAATTGAACACATATGATCAATTTCTTAATTGAATGCATTGTTTCAATCAAATAATTAAAGTGAATATCAATTTTAAATTAATTGATCATTGATTGATTTATAATTTTATTACAATATTGTAATCAAATTTAACAATTAAAATTCCTAAAAAGATTTAATATTTATTTTTTTCATTTTACTAATAATAATTTATTTAACCATTTTTGGCTTTAAACTGGTTTATTCATTAGTAATTTGATACATCATCACTAAGAAACCCGTTCACTTGAACAGAAGTGACTATAACACTACCAAAATATTTTCTAACTATTTTAAATAAAGTTGAAAACTTCTGTTTATTATCAATTTACCATTGAAATAGATTCATTGCAAGTAAAATTTGTGAGTTCCAATATTATTCAAGCTGATTAATATCTGAAAACAAATTAATATTAATATTTTTCTTAGTTGGCTAACTTAAAATAATTTTAGTTTATTTGGTCTAACATTTTAGCATTTTAAAGGTTATTAAATTAACATTAAAATGTTAAAATTAATTGCATGTGTTGATCATTTGATCTTATAATATTCAAAATTTTAAATATTATAAATATATAATAAATAATGATCGATTAACTATAGGAAATTTAATCAATTATAAATCAATTAAAGTTGATTCAATTTTAATCGAATCTAAGAATTTATGATCAAAAAATTGATTAACTCAATCAATTATCGATCCTACTTGATTCGATTAAGAGCCCTATGCATAATAATGAAAAATCCATAAAATTTAATATCATCATATGTTAAAATTCTGAATTTTGACATCAGCAATATAAAATTCTATAGACTTTTTGTCGTTATATATCAAAATTCTGAATTTTAATATCAGCGATGTAATTTCGTAGACTTTTTATCATTATACGTTAAAATTCTAAATTTTAACATCAGCGACATAATATTCTGTGAATTTTTTATCGTTTTGCATTAAAGTTCTGAATTTTGACATCAGATGACATAAAATTTTATTTTCATATGTTAAAATTTTGAAATTTGACATCAATTTTGTCATCATGTATTATAATCAAGGTTTTAATATATAACAATATGAATTTTATATCAGTTATAAATTTTTAATATAGAAATAAATGAATTAAAAATGATTTATTAATAAATTTATATCAAATTCATTAAATCTTTTATTTAATCGATAACAATTTTAATACTATCATCTAATTCATTTAAATTTTCCTTTTCATATTTCTCAATCAATTTATCAATTTTTTCATAAACTATATTATTTTTTGATCCATCTAACATGTTTGAAATAGTATATTTTTAAAAGAATTAAAAATAATTTAATCTAAAATAGCATCTTATAAATATTTAATCCAACCACATATATCACTAATTTTTGCTTTTTTTAAGTTACCTGCTACTGTTATACTAGCATCACTATTACACATCCATTCATGCTATTTTTTGCACAAATTATCTTTAAAAGGCTTGTTAATTGATATATCAAGTAGTTGACATACACTAGTTAATCTTGCTAGAATTACAGTTAAATAAAAATTATGTTGTTTAAATTTAACTTTTACATTTTTCTTCAAGTGACCTCAAAATAAATTATATACCATCATAGCAGAATTCTTTAACAAATTTTCAGATATACGAAATTTAAATAAAAAATCAATATAATTTTTAATTAAATCTGATGTCATCCATCCATTTTCTTGAAACTAATAAAATAATACCTTTTGGAATAACTTCATTATGAGAAAGTTATTTTTCTTTAAAGATACAGATAAGAGAATATTTTATACTATCTGCAATAATAAAAAGCATTTATTAAATATAAAATAAAATAAAGATTAACAATTCCATACCAGCTGAACAAATTAAAACTACAGTAAAATGATTTTTATCATTTTTAGTAATATGAATATGCACTGTCTTATCTCCTTTATTTTTGACAGTTAAATTTCCTATTATGTCAAATTAAACAGGAGTTTTATCTATATTGAAAATGTTTTTTAAATCAAAATTATATGGTATTCTTAACTTTATAACAAATCTTCTAAATTCTTCTAATTTTATTTTTAAATCTTCAGGTAATTTTTGTGAAATTTTAGTTCTTCTTCTTAATAATAGGTTAAATTTTTTCATAAAAGAACTAATCCAAGAAAATCTTCCTTAAAATTCATATTCTCCTGTTGAATACAAAGCTTGAATAGTAAGTTTTTTAAGAAATTTAGACATTTGTAATTTAACAGAAATATAATTAACAGATAAACCTTTCTTTCTCTACTACATAATCCAAATATATAAGAGATTTTTTACTTTAAAATAAAAGCTTTTCTTTTTAAGTAATACTTTTTTTTTTACTTTTTTTTTCTAATTCTTCACTTTTCTTAACCCATCTTCCAATTATTAAACTATCTAAATCAAAATATTTTGCTTTAATATTTTTTTCATATTTTTGAACATATTTAATTACTGTTAATTTTTCTTCAACTAAGTATAATGTTCTCTTTTTTGTGCTTACTTTTTTTTTTACCATCTTTTTAAAAGTTAAAAAAACTTGCAAATAAACAAATGTGAAAATTATTTTTTAATAAACGTAAAAAATGTTTTTTGTAATAGATTAAGTAATAGATACAAAAAAAAATCAATTATTTTTATAATAAGTAGAAGATAAGTAGATAGATAGGTAGGTAATAAGATATTAAGAAAAAATTTTCAGTAAATGGACAATGTATATGAAAAAAAATACTTTTTTTATTAATAGTAAGCATATGAATGATTGATATAAAAATATCATACTCTTTTCATAATAAATCTATAAACAAGTAGCAAATATAAAGAAAAAATTAAAAAATTTTTTTTTTCATTATGATAGATGGATGGATGGTTGGTAAGTATGATAATTTTTTTTTTGCAATATAAAAAAATGTGATAATCAAAATTAAGTACTTCTACCAATTTTAATGATTATATAATTGCAAAAAAGGAATGTTTATTTTCAGTATTTTATGATAATAAAAGGTAAAATTTAGCAAAGTTATATTAAAACCTTATTAAAAAACTTATAAAACTTAAAAAAAATAAAATCATATCAAAGCTTATAA